AACCGTAAGTTATTCTATGTTTACCTTTACTCCCTCCGTCCGGAAATATTCTTCCCATTCTCCTTTTTGGTCCGTCCGAAAATAATCTTCTCATTTCCTTTTTTAGTATGCTTTTTAAGGCTAAATATCAATAATACCCTTCTATTTTATCACAAATCTACTTTTTTAATACTTTTTTAATAATAAAAGGAGATTTAAAAGTTTATAGTATGTGCATTTTTGAAAATTTTGCATTTTTTTTACTATTCTTTAATAAGCGTGCCAAGTCAACACGGGAAGAATATTTCCAGACGGAGGGAGTACAGTTTTACATACATTTTTACTTTATTAATAATGAGATCGAAGCTAAATTCTTAAGTGATCTTAAAATTCATAATCATTTTATGAATTTCAGTGTCATTGATATTATAAAAGATTGAACTTTTTGCAAAAAATAAAAGATTCACCTCTAAGCCCATAAAATGAATGAGAAGATTCACTTTTTACATGTAAACCTTAGAATCATGGATGAACAATTCGAGATTGAAATGAAGGTACATTGTCAAAAGTAAAAGTAGCATTTAAAATTATTAGGTATAACTTTATCCTCAACCATAAGGTATTCTACGTTTACTTTTACATACACTTTTCCTTTGTTAATGATGAGATCGAAGCCAAATTCTTAAGTGATCTTAAGATTCATAATTATTTTATGAATTCAGTGTCATTGATATAATAAAAAATGGAACTTTTTATAATAATTAAAAAAAGATTCCCTTGTAAGCCATAAAATGAATGAGAGGATCTACTTTTACATGTAGACCTTAAAATCATGGATGAACAACTCGAGATTGAAATGAAGGTACATCGTCCAAAGTAAAACTAGCATTTTTGCACAATGAGAGAGGTCATCTAAGCCCATGTTCTCTTCACCTGATCTAAATAGTTCTCATCTAATTGGAATAAATTCTTATCTTGTCTGATCTAAACGTAGTTATATTTAAAGTTATTTCTGATCTAATCTAGTCTGATTTGATCTGAACTGATTCCAACAAAAAAAAGTAATACTTCGTAAGTAACAAGAATAAGTTGAAGAGAACATGACCTAAGACACGTAGGTCATGTTCTCTTCACCTGATCTTTGGTTTTGATCTGATTCGAATAGGTTCTAATCTGATCTGGTCTAATCTGAATGTGATTATATTTAAGATATTTGTGATCTAATTTAATCTGATCTGATGTGATTTCAATAACGATAAGTAACAAAGTTTGGGTAAAAAAACTCCCACAAATCAAACTACCCCGGAGTACATTTCAGTATGTGAGCCAAAACACATTTATTACTCGGTATTTATTAGAAAAGAATATTTCATTATTATATGGAGTATTGTTATTTAGAGATTAGATGGTATTATACACCCTATATAGTGTGTATTTTTTCCCAGTAAAATAGGTTTTACGAGCCTCCATATCCTAGTGAATATCAATTACAATTACTAGTTGAGATGCTGTGGAGAACCAGGGTCTCGACAGTCAGGCCCGGCCCAAATCCAAACAGGACTCCCCACTCGAGCCCTTCACCGGTTGTGCTAAGCCCATCTTCCGCAGAGGCCTTTCTCATTTGGTCCAAAATAAACAACACAGAAGCACTAGACATGTTTCCATATTCACTCAACACCCGTCTTGTGGCCTGCAATTTCTCGGGCTTCAGGCCCAACTGAACTTCCACTCGGTCTAGAATTGACGGCCCACCTGGATGAACAATCCAGAAAATAGAATTCCAATCCGTTATTCCTAGAGGCCCAAAAGCGTCCTTCAGAATCTGGCCAATGTTCTCAGAAATGATGGAAGGGACATTTTTCTGTAAGTGGAATGTCAACCCAACTTCACGGAGGTGTCCTTCGATGGCCCCAAAACTGTCCGGTAAAAGAGTTTGGGCCGCGGAGACGAATTCAAACAAGGGTCTTTCGGTCTCTGGCATTGGGCCTGCTCCAATAATTACGGCCGAAGCCCCATCTCCGAATAGGGACTGCCCTACAAGGTTATCAAAATGAGTCTCATCTGGGCCACGAAATGTGGAAAAGATCATCTCTGAGCAAACAACAAGGACTCGTGAGCCCTTGTTGTTCTCAGAGATGTCTTTAGCCAGCCGGAGGACTGTGCCTCCAGCAAAGCACCCTTGCTGATACATCATGAACCTCTTCACGGACGGGTCGAGTCCTAAGAGGTTGATGAGACGATAGTCGATCCCGGGCATATCCACGCAGGTCGTGCTACACAGGATCAGGTGGGTGATCTTCGACTTGGGCTGGCCCCATTCTTTGATGGCCTTTTGGGCGGCTTCTTTCCCGAGTTTTGGAACTTCCTCGGCCACCATTTTTTGTCTCGCATCCAATGATGGTGCCATGTATGCACACATGTTAGGGTTTTCCTTTAGGATTTCCTCTGTTATGTGCATATAACGCTTCTTGATCATTGACTTGTCACCTGTACAAATTCATGGCTCATATACATGTAAAAGCAATCACATTTCACATGAGTTAAATTGGATTGTCTAATTTTAACAACAGAGTTTTCTGAATTATTTCGGTCGTTTGCCAAAAGGTCAGTGAATTAAGTTGTTTATTTGTTAGTGTTGGTTCTACGTCTGATTCTTTAAAATGGGTGGCAACGCCGCCAACGTGCATTTGTACTGCTTTGCGTAAAGATACTATATGTGAATTAATGAAAAAGTTTTACTCCACACAAAGGGAATGTTTAACTTAAAATACTTTCAAAATTGAATACTCCCTCCGTCCATGCGTATTTGTCAACTTTTGGATATTTTCGGTCAAAGTTGGTAAATTTTAATCTTAAATTAAATAAAAATGATATTAAATATTGATAGAAAAATGGTTTTATTAGATTTATTATATCAAATATTTTCAAAATATTATTTCACTAATTAATATACAATATATATTTTGTTTAATTTTAGGTCAAAAATTAAAAACAATTGATCGAAAAAATCAAAACTAAACAAATACTCAGGGATGAAGATAGTATTCGATGGCCATTTTCATGTGAGCACTTTCGAAAGCGATGTCATAAAAATGTTATTTAACTATTCCGTTTTGTCAAAAAAGTCACTACCTTTTTAGAGAGTAAGAATATCTTCAATCACACTTGTTAAACAAAATTTGCGAAAGTCATTTTTTTAAGATGTAAATAGTGGTATAATAAGTGATTTTGAATAGGGAATAGTAGTAGTAGGAGTGCAAAATCTTACAAATCCGTTTGAATTTCGCTTTAAGCTCGGTCATATGGTCGCTGTTGGTGATGCGAAAATAATAATCAGGGTAAGTTCTCTGGTCGACGCAGTTCGGCGGATTAGCGGTGCCGATGGCCATTATCGTCGCCGGACCCTCCGCGCGCTGCGCCTTTCTCACCTCCTCCACCGTCACCATCTTCTCCGAGCAGCTGGCCGCCGCCAGGGAAATGTATGTCGATTGCCGCCTGAGTGAACTCGGTACGGCAATTGTAAGGAAATTAATCAATTAACTCCAAATGATTCCAAGCTAGTAGCCAACATATATGTCTATATATATACTCCATCAGCATTTCCGTTTCCCCTGCAAATTCAAATCTGCAATAAATTCCGAACTTGGTTAGGCCTTTCACATTTGTTCCTAGCTAGCTAATTTTTGAGGATGGGTCATTCATGTTCCACTATGTTTAATCATTTCCAACATTTTGTATATCTATCTAACTTCTTTGAACCTACAATTAGGCAATATTTGTTGGATTATTTCACTAATTTTGATACTCCTCTCCTACGATATTTGTAAAATTTAACTTCTTACAACCAACTTTTGATCTATAATAAAAAAGAAATCGACCATGCTATGTTAAAAGACACGTAGACTATACCCTACAATAAGACTTGTATATGTTTGTTCATAATGTATAAGGCTATTACATTATGATAATTTGATATTGTATATTAATATCTCACAGTTTTTTTTTTGGTATTTTGTATTTATTTTATTGACATTATAACTCCTATTTTAAGATAAAAATATTGATGAGCTCTTATTTTTATGTTTTCACAATATTTTACTTTTATTTAGTCTTTTCCCAAAATTAAATAAAAATTGCATGCTATATTAATTAGATAAATAAATATTCTGAAAGTATTTCTAATAAAGTTATTTTTAGATAAGTATTTGATATAAATTTTATTTAACTAATGGTCAAAGTTTTGTTATATTGTATGCAACATTGAAAAATTCACAACTGAAAATGTCTGTTGCTAAACATTACAAAGCCTTAGAAATTGTCTATCTAAATTTCATGCTAATATAAATAATAATTACCTATTTAAAACTATATCAAATGTGTTAGAGCATTATGCACGGAGTATCTTGATCTTTTTCCTTGATTTACAAAACAAAACTCTTATATACTCCTACATATATTCAATATTACAAATACACGACGTCTAAAAATGGCTTTATATTACATATAGAAATATATGTACCAAAGAGAATACAATTAGATTAGTAGTTCATTTCACAATTTTTGTTCAAATTTTTTCTCCTCGCATTACTCACAACTCACAAGCACTCGCATAAAGTTTCTTCGGTTATGATTCCAAATGAGACCTTCAAAGAACCCATTGTCAAAGTTAGTTTTCTCTAAAATGTTCCAAACACATCTACATCTTTGAACTCTTTGAGAAGGAAAATGCTAGGGTGTCACCACATGGGTGCTACCATGGGTGTACTCATGCTTCGCACAAACAAACACAGACGATAATTGACATATAAATCCTTTATATATATAAACCAGAGTCGGAGCTGTAGGAAGGCGACATTTGGCGGAGCTCTGGCACGACATTTGGCAAATCTGATGTGTCACCCTTTTGGACAAACCGGCCAGTCGAACCGGACCTCTTTTTTTTTGCAATTTTTTTCCAAAAGAATACCACCATGAGGTTTGAACTCAAGATCTCTTGGTAATTTAATTGAGTTCCTAACCATTCAAGTTGGAGTGCTTTTTGTTACAATTTCACTTAACCTTTTATAGTATTTCATAATTTAAAAAGGATTGTATAAAAATTTATTTTTAGTTATAAAAAATATAGTCCTTTAATATAATATTTGAGACTCCGTTTGCTAGAAAGTCGTCAAGTGTCAAGCTTATGTGGGCTATATTAAGGTGAGATGACAACCCTTTATTGGTTACTTATGTGGCAAAGTTTATTAATGATGAATTGACCTTTCTTTTAATTTTAAAATAGAAATTTAATAATGATTCAAATTTTGGAAAAATTTTATGTAAAAAGTTTTAGGACAAATAAAGAATTCATTACTTCGTGACATTAATTGAGTATTTATATTTTTTATTTTTAAAAAGCAATTCATTTAATCCCTCTGTCCTAAAACTTTCTTCACACTTCCCCTTTTTCTCCGTCCTAAAACTACCTCCCTATTAGAAAAAAAAGATGACTAGTGACATTAATACCCTCATGTATTTACACCAATTATCTTCTAACTCTATATTTTGAATGATTGCAAAAAAAATTTCAAAAAATCTTTTTTTAGGAGGGTAAAATTTGAAGTCAAAGCCAAAAATTAAAAATGGGGAAAAGTCAAACTGGGAAAAAAGAATTAGGACGGAGGGAGTATTTATTTGTTATGTTGTGATAAAATTAATTATGTTATAAAATCAAAGTTGTGAAAGATAAATATAGTATTGTCCAAAATAAAATTATCAAAGGAAAACAATTATATAAAATATAATTTTATGATAAAACTTATTATGATGTAGAAAAAAATTAGTGAAAATATAAAATTGGTATCATCACTTACCATTTCTAAACTAGCATTTTTTATGAATCAAATTTTTAACTAAGTGCAGACACAAAAAAACAAAATTTTGATAATATATTTTCGTTTAAAAGTATTCTTATAGGAAAGAATCAAATACGTTTATAATTGATCCTTTATTTATAAAATTGATATTATCTCTAAGAAGCTGAGATGTGACTTTCACTACATAGCAACAAATGTTATCAAATTTAATATCCCCAGATATTATAAATTTTTAAAATGGATAGTCTCAATATCTTCTGATTTTAGGAGATATCAATATGGGAGTTTGATATCTCTCTCAACTGTTGATCATTCTTCGCCACTCGCTACCATTGTCACTGCCAACCACTCCCGTTGTCAGTCACCCTTGCTTATCAATAATTAAATCTTGAGTTTAAATATCTTCAAGTAAAAACATTTCAGATTATAAAGTCTGAGTTTTCAGAACCCACATCTTATAATATCTCCAAAATTCACCAAATTGGCCCTAAGTAATTAATAACATATTTCTTCACTTCTAAATAAATTTCATATTTTTATGATATATTTAAATCGAATTATATTTATTAAAATATTCATGTAAGTTAATAAACAAAAAAATATATTTTAAAACTACAATGAAACTTTATAAAACATCATAAGATTATAAAATAAATTGTTAAAGCAGGTAAAATATATTAGATATTATTTGGTAATTTGATTATATTAATTTCATGGTTTAATATAATTACATATAAATTATGGCTAATAGTTCTTAAATGATTTATGATTTAATTTACAGATATTTTATTTTATTATTATTTATTATAATATTTTTAAGGGTTAAAAATATTTTTAGTCCCTTAAAAATAGGTGAGTTTTGTTTTTGGTCCTCGAAATATAATTTTTGTTTAAAACATCCTGACAAAAAAATTTATTTTGATAATGATCTTTATACATAATAAAGACTTTTAAGTTGTTGACATAACATATTTATTTTGTACTCAATAGCTTAGTTTTAGATTTGCAATTACTTCATACACAATTTTGATGCCAATAATTGTATCTTTTATCATATTGCATTTCCAATTCTCAAATTTTGATTATAATATATTCGTAAGAAATTTGAGAGCCGGATATATGTAATATGAA